TCTAGAATCAATTTTCATATTAAAATATCGATATTTTAGTACTTTGGGGTAAATTTGTAGTTTTTCATTAACAGGAACAAAGTGGAAAGAAACTATATCATTCGGATTGTCTAAATTGGAAGGAACTATTTCCTCTTACGCCTTTCATAGTCATGTGCAAAACACAGCTGTATAAATGTGTCCAGCCCCTGGCGTGCGCACTCACAACAATGGCTGAGCATAAATGGAGTCATGTGTGCGCACATATTTTACCTCCACAAACGGCCGAGGCGCGGTTTGCGATACATGTGGCAAGACAGTGACGTGTTGTGGCAACACCACTAACCTCGTCAAACACCTGAGAGTAAATCACATCACAGAATATGACGAGCTTATGTTGAGGCGAACTGAAGAGGAGGAGAGGGACAGGTGCTGCTAGGGCGAGACAGACGTCTCTCGGGGAGTCCTGAGAGACGTCTGTCTCTCAACATGTTCAAATAGGGCACAACTTCAGGTTTTTTATTTCTACATGATAATTCTACATTATTAAGCAATAAAAAAAGTAGTCTGATGTCCTGCAATAATTATGAAGTTATATTATTACAATTACATAATACAATTATATATTGTATTATGAAATACAATGAAACATTACGTTTTTGTACAGAGTATCGGTATCGGATCAGTATCGTCGATACCACCCTGACTTTTACTTGGTATCGGATCAAAAAGGAAATCAGTGGTATCTCACATCACTAGTTTGAATCATATCTGTTTAACAGACTGCAGTCTGTTCGCGTAAATGGAGAGTCCTCTTCACACACTAATAATTATGGAGTTCCACAGGGTTCAGTGCTAGGACAAATTCTGTTTACATTATACATGCTTCCCTTATCATCAGAAGGCATAGCATACATTTTCACTGCAACTTTATCTGTCCATGAAGCCAGATAACATACGCAAATTAGTTAAACTGCATGAATGTTTTAAATACATAAAGACCTGGATGGCCTCTAACTTTTTGCTTCTAAATTCAGATAAAGCTGAGGTTATTGTACTTGGCCCTGAAAATATGGTAGCTAACCAGATGCTTGATCAGGATGGCATTACTTTGGCCTCCAGTAACACTGTGAGGAACCTTGGAGTTGTTTTTAACCAGGATATGTTTTGCAATGTGCATATTATAACACAAATATAACTAATTTGTAGGACTGCTTTATTCAATTTAGGCGATATCCCTAAAAATAGAAATATCCTGTCTCAGAGTGACGCTGAAAAACTAGTTTATGCATTAATTACTTCTAGGCTGGACTACTGTAATTCATTATTATCAGGATGTCTGACAGACTGACGGGGACTAGAATGAGAGAGCATATTTCTCCTATACTGACTTCCCTTCATTGGCTTCCTGTTAAATCCAGAATTGAGTTCAAAATCCTGCTCCTCACAAACAAGGTCTTGAATAATCAAACCCCATCTTATCTTAATGAGCTTATAGTACCATATCACCCCTTTGACTACGATGACCTGGATGACTGAGAACCTTCACAGACATCACCCCATTAAAGCACTTCAGGCTTACTTGTGGTTCCTAGAATATAGGATGGGAGGAAGGGCCTTCAGTTTTCAGGCCCCTCTTCTATGGAACCAGCTTCCATTTTGGATTCAGGAGACAAATATAATCTCTACTTTTAAGATTAGGCTTAAAACTTTATTTTTTACTAAAGCCTATAGTTAGGGCTGGATCAGGTGACCCTGAATTTATCACCCAGTTATCCTGCAAGCTGCGGGACTTCCCATGATGCACTAAGTGTTTCTTCTTTAGACACTATGTGTTTATACACCACGGTACATTAAATGCAGTACTTATTATTGTGTAGCTCTCTTCCATAGAATATGTTTGTCCTGTCTTTCTGCCCTAACCCCCAAAGGTTGGGGTCATTTGCCTTGTTCTGTCAGAGGTTTCGTCCTGACCAAAAGAGTTTTTTCTTTCCAGTGTCACCAAGTGCTTATTCATGAGGGAATTGGATTGGATTGAACTGAATATGAGTCTTTGTGGATCATCCATACACACTGATAACCTTCTTGTCCAAATGTGATCACTTCTGGTTTCAGCATGAACATGGTGATGGCCAAAATGCCGGAGTACAAAACTTGCTCTTATAGATTACATGGTGGCTCCATCAAACTTGTATCTGTGTCAGCTTGTTATGTGCTCACTGAAGTAGATTGACCTTAAGTAAATATAAACATCTCTTAACTCTTAATATGCTAAGCAATCTGACATAGCAATGTAGAGTTTTCTGGTTCTGTGTTAAACATCCATTCCTCTGCATCTTTTTGTTTTTAAATTCTTTGTGGGAGGAACTCAGAGGGCACAGGAAGTGTAAAACTGGGCAATGACAGCTCTGCTCTACTTCTGCACTTAAGATGTTATGCAAGAGAAGATGGGGAATTAGCATGTGATTGCCTGCATTAAGTGTGAGGATAAAAAGCAAGATAAAAAGAAAAGCCATGATGCAATCATGTGATGTTGTACAATCAATACAGCTAACTGATACTCATGATAGCAGCACAGTGTTAGGATGATGTGTAACTGGACACAGAGCAAGTCATATTATTTATAAAACATTTTCATGAATAATTCTCTAAAATCCAGCCACAGCACAAACAAGGTCAACAAGTTCACACAAACTAGTGAAAGTAATTACTAAATGATACCTCGGCTTTGTTCTTCAGCTCAGTGATGCTAGCTCAATGCAAACTGTGCATGACATCGATAACACTATTACTCAAAGCCAACCAATTTTCTTTGGAATTCCTGAGGAAAATGATGATGAGGAAAATAATATAATTTACACACACATATAAAAATAGTTAAAGACAACATTTATAACACCCACTTATAATCAAATAATCTCAAATCACTCAATCAACGAGATGATGTAGACACACTCCAAAGTCCCTGAAAATGAGTTGCACCTCCACTGTTGCATGCTGATGTAAATTAAGCTTGACCAGTAAAAAAAGACTCCACATAAAAATGATCTTGTATGCACAGGCAGCTGAAACACAGCATCTGAAATCAATATTTCTTGGCTTTATTAAACATATCAGATACCTTTCATACCTGTAGATTATCAAAGGTAAGATGACGACATACTCACCGTTTTCTTGTCCATCTTGTGTACTTTTTCCGAAGAGTGAGAGCAATAACAACCATGCAATCATTATCATAATAATCGTGATGATCCTCTTGTGTAGAACTGTTTATTTCTTGACAGAAAAAACTGTCATGAATCAAGTCGAGTTGTTGTGATAGCAATTAACATCCGCTCGAAGGTGGTTGAAAAGCAGATTTCTGTTTGAAGACTGACACAGACAGCAGGCAAATGTCACTGTCTGTGTCAGGTTACTTCCTGTAGCCTGCCTTCCTCCATAAACACAGTTTGGAAGTGCATTTGAGTTACACTGTTCTAAAAAATAGTAATGTCAAATTTTTTTACTGTGTATTTTACAGTTGTGTGTTTTTCTAGAATATCATTACATTTACATAAGTAGACTGTGATCTGACACAGTCTACTTATGTAAATGTAAAATAACATAACATCACTGTAAATGTAATTAAACAGAGTTTACTTGTTTTGTAAATATATTTTGTTGTACATATGGATATTTAGATTGTTAAAATACATTCACAAATGTATGTCTGTTATTTGAAAGATTGAACTGTTGAATTCAAATGTAATGCTATGGAAAAGTATATAACATGAGCCCTGTAAGCTTGTGTTACATCACATAAGTATTATTATCATTGCTAGTTAGGGCGTTCGTGGCTCAAGAGTTGGCAGTTCGCCTTGTGATCAGAAGGTTGCCGGTTTGCGCACCGGCTCGGACGCTCTCCGTCGTTGTGTCCGTGGTCAAGACTCTTCACCTACCGCCTATGGCCAAAGAGGCCGATGGTGCAATATGGCAGCCTCGCCTCTGTCAGTCTGTCCCAGGGCATGCAATCAGTTATTATTTAAACCAACTGTTAACTGTATATTTCTGTACATTTACGTATTATGATTGTTGTTTATAGGTAATTTCATTGTTTGATCACGTAAAAATGTTCCTAATTTAATGTCTAAAAGCACTTGGAAAAGGTAGAATCCCATGTAAAATTAGCGCAACAAACTCTATTTTCATTACTGAAAATAACCGTATTTTTATGGGACAGTTATTTTTTGTTATTTTACGGTCGTATTTTGGCGCCCCAGCTGCCGGAATATTACCGTTCTTTTAAAGATGTTTTTTCCCCCTATTTATAGATGATTTCATAGTTTAATGACATTAACATGTTCCTAATTCAATGTTTAGCGGCACTTGAAAAAGGCGAGATCCCATGTCGAATTAGCGCAACTAATTGTATTTTCATTACTGGAAATAACCGTATTTTTATGCGGGAGTTATTTTCTGTAATTATACGGTCGTATTTTGGCGCCCCAGCTGCCGGAATATTACCATTTTTTCAAGATGCTTTTTCTAACAGTGTAGTAATGATTGTGAAATCCATGTGGATCCCACCACAGGAAATGGAGCAGTTGTGTTCTTGTAACTGTGACTCACAGCAGCGAGCTCAGACATGCTCTGAGGCTGTTTACATACCTGGAAGTCAATTACTATAAAAACATCATCCAGAGAGAGAATCAACACATCAAGGAAGGATCATAAATTCAAGCTTTAAAATTTGGAAGTGTGTTCAATCACCACTAAATACACAATGAAGAATTTGAAGAAGTACTGCAAGTGAAAAACAAACAAACAAAAACACTGTAAAATGATGATAAAGCCAGTATCTATCTATCTATCTATCTATCTATCTATCTATCTATCTATCTATCTATCTATCTAATTTATTTGAACACTTGTTTATGCACTGTATTGCAAAAAGTCACTCACTCGGTTTCATTTTTTATAGTGCCAAATCACAACAACAGCTGCCTCAGCCTCAACTATCATGTGACCCCCTTGGCAGCGGGAAAGAAATACTCCCTTTTAACAGAAACAGAAACCTCCAGCAGAACAAGGCTCAGTGAGGGGGAGGACAGGAAAAGGACGTGCTGTGGAAGAGAGCCAGAGATTAATAATAACTAATGATTTAATACAGAGAGGTGTACAAACACAGTGAGTAATAAAGGTGACTGAAGAGGAAACACTCAGTGCATCATGAGAATCCCACAGCAGCATAGATCTATTGCAGCGCAATTAATGGAGGGTTCAGGGTCACCTGATCCAGCCCTAAGCCATAAAAAGCTTTATAAAAAAAGGGAAGTGTCAAGCCTAATCTTAAAAGTAGAGACGGTCTCTGTTTCCCGTCTCTAACCAGTTCAGGGAATTCAGGTGTTCCAATCACTTCCATACGTACAGGTGTATGAAATCAAGCATGTAGACTGCTTCTACAAACATTTGTCAAAGAATGGGTCACTCTCAAGAGTTCAGTGAATTCCAGGGTGGTACCATGATCGGATGCCACCTGTGCAACAAGTCCAGTTGTTAAAATTTCCTCACTATTAAATTTTCCACTGTCTGCTCTTCGTGAGATTCTAACAAAGTGGGAGTGATTGGGAATGACACACACAAATGATCCTTGCAAATGATATTTTTAGCTTGGCATGACTTGCAACAAGGGGGGATTCTGTGGAAAAATACCCGAGTCATGTGATTTATTTCACAATATCTCAATAAATTCTTCCTGTGTCAGTCATTTAAACCAGAGCATGGTTGAGGGCTTTGTTGCTTACACAGACCACAAAGAGAAAGTTCAGCCTTTCCTGTTCACACACTCACACACGCTTTCTAGAAATTCCCGATCAGGGAAAAATGCTGTCGGTCAGGATGTGAGATTACAGTTATGGTTGTGGTGGTGAACCCCACACACTTTGAAGATATGTCAGCTGTTGGGAAATGTTTTGCTTTTCTTATTTCCTGAAGAATATCCTGTAGAGTTCTCAGTGATCACAACAGTCTCCTCAGATTTCAGCATTTAAGACCCTTTAAGTTGGTTTTTGGAGTTACTCTTTAGGATTTAGCTCATTTTTTGGACTTTATGAAAACTCAAGTCTCAGGTTGACTTCAGTTGATATGCAGATTGTGGTCATTTCTGTCACGGTTCTGGGTCATTTTGACCTAGCATTTTCTGTTTCTTATGTTTTGGAGTTTCTCTGTATTATGATTTATGTCTGATTCTTTAGCTTTCCTGTTTTGATGAGTGTTATAAATCGATGTTTCAGTTTGGTTCTGGTCATGAGTTTAGTTTGATGTTAATTCTTCTTTAAGTTTCGGTCATCTCTGGCTTCCATGTGTTATATTCTATAGTCTGCCTCTCAGTGTCAAGTCTGCGTCTTTGTGATTTGTTTCATGTTTTCTGTTTTATTTTGATAGTCCCAGTCTGATGTCAGTGTGTTCAGTTTTACTTCTCCCCTGTCTTGTTAGAATAATTTCTCCCAGCTGTGTCTGCCTCCTGTTTCCCATTCCCTGATTACTCTCCAGTGTATATAAGCCCTGTGTTTTCCTTTGCTCTCTGTTGTTTAGTTAATGTCTGCTCACCCTTATTCTTGCTTTGTGTTCGGTTTGCTTGCTTGCCTGTTAGTTTACTTGTTTTCCCAGTTTAGTTAGTTTTCTGTTCTTCTTATTTTCCTGTAGTAATCCGGGTATCTTCAGTTCACCTCTGCCTCCGCGAGTCCTGCCTTTGGGTTCAATCCTGCCTGCCTGCGCAGCACACAGCCATGACAATTTCTTTACATTCTGATTAGTGATGGTGAGATGAAGCCTCATGATGAACTGAAGCTTTCCATCCAATTGGTCGACTCATGGTTCGAAGCATTGTGATGATTCATTTGCTCTACTGCGCCATCAAGTGGACAATTCAAGTGAAGCGGGCTCTTTGATTATAATGATGTGTAAACCTTATGTACATCTGGATAATGACACAAACTAGTCTTTGGTGCTTCACTTTTTAATAAACTAAAAGACAGAAATCAGATTATAGGATGTGTAGTGTTGTTTATTTATATTTTGGTGTTTATCATTTGTGATATTTATTACTGTGTGCATACTTTATTAGGAGATAAAAAATAAAAAAACAAAACATCTCTTCCTTGCTGGTTCCATCGAAGAAGAAATGCACAAGTAACTATGTAGCACGTACGTAATCCAATTCCACAACACGGTGTGATAGGGAATCAGCTGTTTTCCTGCCCATGTTATTTCGAATCTGGCGCGAACCGGTGAACCAGTCCCTGAATCAGTCACGTGGTACGGACTGCCCGCGAGGCCTCGAACGTCACTGCATACGTAATCAAAGCAAGCCTCGATACGCGCTTCAAAAAAACGCCCCCGCGATTACCCGACGCACGATTCGAAGCTTCTACACACAGGACACATCACTAATTCTGATCGCTTCAGTTACACTGGGGAGGTTTTAAACATTTTAAACAAGATTATTTATCTAAAGTGCCCATAAAGGGATCATTAGCTGCTCATTCATAACACAAGATTATCTAAATGTTGTTACGCAAAAAAATTAAAGTTGCCCTGATTTCAAAACCAATGTGACAGACTTGAGGTATTGAGGTATACTTAGGGGCTTAAACAGTGAATATTCAACAAGAAAGTTTTAAGAAAAAAGAACAAAAAGTCTGTGTGCTGAAAACCACCAAAATTCCAGTCAGAAACTGCACATTCACTGACGTGAGTAGAAAATTTGTACCAACAGACACATTTTATTAAATTTACCTTGAATGGTCATGTATAATAATCCGAAAAACAAACATTCTGCTGACAGCTCCCTCTTGTGGTACTGAAGGGTATACAAAGCCTTTTTACATGGCAAGACCAAGGTCTATTAAGTTCTCATTAGTGATCATGATAGACTACAGCTAGTAGTTTTGAAAGGGATTTGTTTAAAATTGGGACGATCTCTTAAAGTCCAGACTCATTTTTGGGGCCACTCTCGAGTGAGCACTGTAGGAGCTGTTGGCACTTCAGTGGTGGTTTTCTGCTTGTTTAGGTTGTACATCTTTTACCACCTATGTGGGCTTTGTGGAGACACTAATATGTGTAATTTCAGGAAGGGTAGAAACAAGTTTTTCTTTTTATGATGCACATCAAGTATAGCCAATTAAATTTCGACTTTAGGTTGTTTTTCTTTTTTGCCTTGTTATTTAAGATTTGCCCTCTGAGATCAGCTAATGAGTCATCGAAATGTGAAAAGGTGCCTCAACTACTCAGTTGTAGTTAGAGTAGTTTGTGCTTGCAGCTCCTGATGATAAATCTACTGAAATAAAAGTCAATCAGGAAATGCAGGAGGAGTAGAGGAACTGCAGAAATACACCAAAGTACAACTGCTGTGTAAATGCACTCGTATACTTTGCACCCCAGACATGTAATGTGTGACAGCTCATTATCATCAGTACTGCAGTGCTGGCTCCATCTAGTGTTCACTATTCATGCAAACATCACCACAGCAGATCATCATGGTGCCGTAATGTTTCTCTCTAAACCAAAACTCTTTGAAGGTAACCAGGCAAAATCAAATGACATTAAAACACTTGAAGCTTCTTGTTTTATTGGTTTACAGCATTGAATCAATCGTAATTTCTTGGTTCTTATAAACACAGATCAACAGCAAAGACCTCTCAAAGCTACATGGAACTATTCACATTTTTCCAATAAGGTAGGGCACTCATAAATACATAAAATACACATAAATCAGTTTGTCAGTTCTGAGATCCTCTATTGTTCATTTTCTCTTCGCTCCAACATGATCAGCTCAGTTTCTGTGATGATGGCAGTCTGATTCAGACAACAGCACTAAATTGAAAATGCAAACAGCTGACATTTGTACAGAATTCACAGGATTCACATGAAAATAAATCAGGCTTTAGAAAGGCTTTTCTCAAATGTCTGAGTGGAATTTCTAGATACATTTTCTTTATTTACACCGTTGGCTTTTAATTGTCCAACAAACAAAATGAACAAAAAGCAAATTTTAGACTGTTCTAGAGGCCAAGTGGGGACCTCATGGAAATCTCTGGATTCAATTCAATTCAATTCAATTCAATTTTATTTATATAGC